GCTCACCTACTAAAAAAAACAACTCTGACCACTCAAAAACCACATCGATCACCTACCCGAAAAAAGTTATATCTACCATAATCATCAAGAAATCGAACAAAGCAAGACCATAGATAAAGGGGAAGAGCTAGAAAGAGAGCGACAGGGCAGGAGAAGGAGAGAGATGGGGCATCAATGGGGAAGAAAGAGGAGGAAAAGTAGCGACAAAGTGCCAATATCTTCCAATATTGAGGTTAAAGGTTCAAACCCCACTAGAGACATTTTTAGGTTAGAATACCTTAACCTTCAATTCTCTCTCACTTTCAAAGTGTTTGATCTCGTATTTTAAACGAAAAAAGTACGATGCAAAAGTCTTTTTCCTTACGATTAAAAGAAACACATTGGATGCGGCAAGCCGCACCCAATGTTTCGTCATTCAGTGAAGATAATAGCAGCATATCATCGTCATCTTCTTGCGTTGAACAACTTTCCACCCGATGACAAGTTGGTGGTTGTTATGACGAAGGAGAGGAGTGAGGCATCCATAGCAGAAGAGAGAGAAAGTTTAATTGCTTGAATATCTCAAATTTTTCGAAAAATGCCCAAAAAATCGAATTGGGGTATTCTTATGTGATGTATAATTGTTGAAATTGATTGTCCCATATGATTGTATGTTAGCATTTTGATAACAAATACATGTATTTTGGTTGAGAAATGAGCAAGTTATGTTATACCCATGACCTTAGTACGAGATCTTCAATGGAGGTTCTTCCATTGTTATACATATTATCGAACAAATTATACTATACATATCATCAAACAAGTTATACATATCCTCCATTAGCTAGATGATATCCTCTATTAGCTATATGATACTATTGTTGAATGATATCCTCTATTGGCTATATGATATCATTTATGATTGTGCCTATGATATCCTCTATCACAAAGTTTCATATGTGGCTGGCCGCACTGTACGGCCAGCCACAATATAATTTTTTTTTTAATCATTCTTCTCTATCTTCTTTATCTCCTCTTTCTCTCTCCTCTTTTAATTTCTTCTTCTCCAGTTAGCCACCCATATCACCCCCTTCACCAAGCTATCTCCTCTTTTCTCTCCTCTATCTTTCTCTTTCCTCCTTTTTCCAAAAAAAGGCAGCATACTTGCAAAATAAACCACCTGCAATTACAAAGGAAGAACGCATGTCCTCCTCCAACCCGTCGTCGCACTATGTGAGCTCCTCGTACTCCATCGTCAGAAAACAACTTACAGGTTTTTAAGGCCAAATTCGGCCATAAAACTTTAGATCTAGAGTTTTCATGGTCAAATTTGGCCTTTTTAGCCATATTTGAAGTGAAATTCGAAGTCATTGTTAATTTTAAAGGTATTTATTTGATTTAATTTTTTTTAACGATTAGGTTGTGGGTTCGGTTGGATCTATGTTTGTTTGTGGGTTTGGTGTATGGTGGTGGTGGTGGTGGCATGGCGTATTGGGGGTGGGGCTAGTGGCATTTTGGAGGTGGTGGTGGGTCAAGGGTTACTAGGTCGGGGTTACTTAAGGGGTTACTAGATGAGTAGATGGGTAGGTCGGGGGTTACTTAAGGGGTTACTAGATAGGTTACTTAAGTGGGGTTACTTAAAGGGGTTACTTGGGGCGTTACTTGGGAGGTTATTTAAGTGAGGACTTGAGGGGTTAGTGGAGGGGTTACTTAAGGGGTTACTAAGTCGGAGGGGTTACTTGGTCCGGTCAGGGGTTACTAAGTCGGAGGGTTACTAAATGTAAGGATGGCAGTGGGTCGGGTTAAATGGGAGACCCGCTCCATCCCCGCCCAAGTGGGGCGGGGATGGAAGGAGGTTTGGCGGGTTATGGGGCGGAAGTGGGTATAAAATGTGTACCCGTCATGGGTGATGGGGCAAGTATGGATTTTAGAGTAGACCCGTCCCATATCCGCCCCGCCCCGTACCCACCTTATACTCGCACCATATTTCTTTAATAAGAGTTGAGAATTTATGAAACTTGATGTCCCCTAAAACCCAATAAGCTTGAATAGTGAAAGTCCCAATTAATTTTCCTAACCTAATTTGATATAATCGTCATTAATGTGATACAATAGAGCATCATGGCAAAGGGTTTGGGACGATTTTGGTGCGGGTATGAAGTGGGTATGAATATCCAAGTGGGTGATGGGGGGATGCCTATCTTGTACCCGGTGGGGCGGGTATGGATGTGGATGTTGTACCCGCCACGGGTGGTGGGGCGGGGATGGGTATAAGATTTTTAGGTGTGTATGGGTATGGAGGTACCATCATCCGCATCCGACCCGCCCCATTTCCATCCCTAACTAGATGGGTCACTTGAGGGGTTACTTGGTCCAGTCAAAGGTTACTTGGTTGGAGGGGTTACTAGGTTGGTGGGGTTACTATGTCATTTGCTGATTTGGCACCCTGCCGCATGGTGCGGCCAATCGCACCGGAAACACACTGATCCTCTATTGATTGGATGATATCCTCTATTGCCTATATGATATAATCCAGCCATGATATCATGTAGGCAATAAAGGATATCATCCAGCTAGTAGAAATATCATCCAGCCAATAGAGGATATATATCATCCAACCAATAGAGGATTATCATCCGGCTAACTGAAGATATCATCTAGCCAATAGAAATATCATCGCCAATAAATATATTATATAGACAATAAAGGATATCATTCATTTAGTAGAGGATATCATTCATCCACTAGAAATATCATCCAGCCAAGCAATAAAGGATATTATGTAGCAATAAAGGATATTATATAGCAATAAAGGATATCATTCAATTAGTAGAGTATATCATCTTGCAAATTGAGGAAATCAAAAATTTGCATTTGTCACTCCGTATTGACGAAACATTTCGTCAGTCCGACTGACACAATACCTTCTCTAAAAGAAAAAGAAAACTTTGTCAAAATCACTTTTTTTTCTTCTTAAACCACCTTTGACAAAAATGTAGTAAAAACTAAAAACCATCTACTACTTTTTTTTTTTTTTTTTTTTTTTTTTTTTTTTTTTGTAATTCTAGAAAATGAGCTTGAATTTTAATGATTCAATTCTCATTTGTTTTGTTGTTGATGGCATCTTGGCAAATTACATCAAATTTTTTCAAATACTGCCTCTGTTTCATATTATTTACAACGATTGACATAAAGTAAAGAGGAAAAATATCTAATCGTTGCAAAGAATATGTAACGGAGGTAGTAAGTGATTTTTTACAATTTTTTTAAAAGATTGTTTTTCACAAAAACAAGATTTTAAAAGGTGATTTCTCATAAAATTTCATACTAGTAAAAAAAATAATTACAAACTAAACGTTAAAATATCTCACTAGTGAACAATACAACTTATCCAATACTCCTTAGACCGTAGCAAAATACTCGTATTCCATCCGTATTTTAATAAGGGGCCGTTTGGTTGGGAGAATTCAGGAAAGGGAATGAGAATCAACTGCCCCGATTCCCTTTGTTGTTGTTTGTTAAGCACTTTTAATCATTCCCTTTAGCCTCTCTATTACCCCAAATCCTTCTAACTTCATTCCCCACCCCCCCTAGACTTTTCCATTCCCTTTCCCTACCAAACTTGACACCACCACCTTCACACCTACCAACACCACCGGAAAACCAGCCCTAACCACCGCCGCCCCTACCCTGACCACAGCCGCCCCTCCCCCGACCACCGCCGACCCTCGCCGCCCTCCCCTCCCCCGAAAAAACTCTCCAACCACACCAGAACCACCCTGAAAACCCCCACTTAGCCCTGAAAACACCACCTAACTTCAAAAAACTCAACCCCAAGCCACGAAAACACTAGCACCCCTGAAAAACACCACCACCCCGAAAAAACCACCCAGCCCCGTAAAACACCACCCAATACTCTACCCCCAGCCTCGAATACCTCCACCCCAACTTGTAAAACCCCACCTAGCCCTGAACTTAGCCTCGAAAAACTCCACCCCAGCCCCGAAAAACTCCAACTAGTCGGCGTAAATCGCTGCGATTGTTGGCGATTAGGGTTGTTCGTTAGCAGATGTAGTTGCGGCTGGTGATGGTTGGTGGCTGGCTGCGGTGAATTGGTGGTTGGAGTGTGAGTTTTGCGGGTTGGTGTTTGAATTGGAGCATGGGAGCAGTGAAGGAGTGAGGTGGTGTTGGGCGGCGAATTTCTAGGTCAAGGGAGATCGGGGCTAGGGGTGATTTTTTTGGGGGAGGGGAGGATGACGAGGCTCGGGGGAGAGTTGGCGGTGGTCGGGGGAGGGGCGGCGGTCGTCTGGGCTGGTTTTCCAGTGGTGTTGGTTGGTGTGAAGGTGGTGATGTGGTGGTGTGAAGGTGGTTGGATTGGTGACCTTTTATTCAATCCATTCCTTTGTTATTAAAAACAAACAACACCCCAAAATTGGGGGATTTTTATTCCATTCCTTGTCTTTTCCTTTGTTCATTCCATTCCGATTCCCCTGTGCGAACCAAACGACCCCTAAGTGTTATAGTTTGACTTTTTTTTTACTGTTCACATAATGTGTTTGACTTGATTAGTTTACTAATATATAAAAATAAATGTTATTATATAATACATTGTTGGATTTGTTATAACGTACGTAGACTTTCATAATATCAATTTTCCTACGGAGTATAATTTTATTAACATATGATTAGATAAATTAATGGTCATAGTCGTGTCTCGACATGCATGTTGATCAATGTAACAATTATTAAAACACTAGGAATTGACAACAAAAACCGTAAACTCTTAATTGTCTATGTGCCTTTTTTGTTCTTGGAAAACTATTGTCTATGTGTCTTTCTTTTTTTTTTTTTTTTTTGAGGGATTGTCTATGTGTCTTTTTTTTTTGAAGGAATTTGTCTATGTGTCTTTAAAATTACATTAATCTTCTTTTTCAAAAAAAAAAAAAAAAAACTTAATCTTGAACATTTGACCCCAATAACATATTATTTTATTAATATATATATATAAAAAATAATAATTCATTGGATGTACATCTTCCTGAATTTCTTCCCGTCTTTCTATTTATCGTACCAAAACCAAATTCTAACTTCCTCAAATTTACCTTGCATTTTTCGCTAATTTGCCCCTTTTTAAGCTCTGTAAATACTTTTAATTGATCCCAAAATTGCTTAATTCGATTCTACTGTTTATCTTCTGATCTATTTCTGCAAATCCCTTTTTTATTTTTTTTCTCTTAATTAATTTAAATATATTTGTCCTTTTTCACGAGAAAATTCTGAAGAAACCATGAGGAAGAAGCTCGATACTCGTTTCCCTGCTGTATGTTTCTTTCTTTCTCTCTCCTCTTCCCTTAATTTTTTTCTTCTTAATTTATTATTGATCTGTTCTGATTATGTAACCAGATCTGAATTTTTATGGGTTTTTTTTTAAATCTATGTTTAAATCCAGTGGGTTATAATTTGATTGTTATATACTATTATAAATTAAGTGGATTTTGTGAAAGTTTTTGGTGTTTTGATTATTAAATTTGTGGATAAAAGGATTTGGGTGTTTCATATTCTGTCGAATTTAGTTGGTTTCATTATATTTTTGGTTATTGATGCTTTTTATGATAATATGATCTGGGTCATGTTCAATTTGCCTTACTTTGAGTGTTTGATTGGTTCAATATGGTTGAATTTGCTACTTGTTGGAAAAATTCTCTGGTGCTAATTTTTAGGGGTCGAAATCAAATTAGTTTTCTGATAGTTTTGACTTTTCATGATGATTTTTTTTGTATTGTGCTGTTGTTGATCTTCATGGAATGGAGGAGTAGGAGAGGTTGTGTACTGTGAAGGCGTTAAAAGGTTGCGATTAGAGGAAGGATGTGCTGATTTTTTCGACTGAGCTGTGTGATTCAGGATGCTGATATGTTTATATCTGTTTATTTGTCTCGATATGGCTTAAAGCGATTGTTATTAATTGTGGAATTAGTTTGATGACGCTTTTGATTGTTGAAGCGAATGTGGTTTGGGAATTTTTGATATTTTGTATGAGTTCAATTAATTTGCTGAGTATTATTTGCTGACTTCACAGCAAGATATGGCATTTGGGATGTTACAGAAGTTGGTCTGTGTATTAGGCAGATTTGGCATTTGGGATGATTTACTGGGTTTATTATTATTATTATTATTATTTTTTTTATCTTAGTTATCACTGGCTAGTTTCTTGGAGAGATTTATCTGTGAACCCCTGGATTTTTGGGTTTAATAGTTGGCCCTTCATACGCCCACATTTGAGTTGTTACAGTAGTTTTTATGGAGTAGCTTTTTATAATTGTGTTTGCTGTGAAATGGTTTGACGAATGAATTCAGGACAATTAATTTGTTGGACAAAAGTGCCCAATAACTGAACAAAAAGCAAAGGTAAACTTTGGGTTGCTTATAAGATGTAAGGGTTCCCCCCACCCTTCCCCCCTTTTATTTTGTTTAGGGATTACAGTTCACTTTACTGTGTTTTTGGATAATTGTTATGGAGGGAACAGAAAGGGAGAGGAGGGGAAGGGAAGTGAACGATACATAATTAGTTTCCTTCCAAGTCTTTCCAACTTTGGAAGGTCATATTACATACACTGGAAGAGGAATAGGTTTTGGATTAATTATAATTACTCCCACCACCTCCTCCCCATCCCCTTCCCCTCTTTCTCCAACATAACATCCAAAGAAGGCACAATTGATCTCTTGCACTCTATATCTTTTTCCCTCCAAAATTTTTGGATCTCATAATCTTTTTATCCGAAGAAACCATTTTTCTTTTCTACCCCCCCCCCCCCCCCTCCTCCTCCTATATGCACAATATTTTTTTTGCTACTGAGATCATTATTGCACTTTGTCTTTTTGTAAATTACAGCCCATTGCAAATTTGGTTTCTTAATGCTTCACATCATTGTATTTACATTTGAGTGTTCATATGCAATTATTAGGATGTGATATATTATCAAAGGTGCACTTATGATGGGTCAATTTTTAATGATGTCTTCTTGGTTGAATTGGCAGGCTCGGATAAAAAAGATTATGCAAGCTGATGAAGATGTTGGGAAGATAGCAATGGCAGTTCCTGTTTTAGTTTGTAAGTAGCATCAACTTTGAGTTTTGAAACTTGAAATTATGATTTTGTGCTCAACCTGATTTTATATTGTGCAGCAAAGGCATTGGAACTGTTTCTGCAAGACCTTTGTGATCGTACTTATGACATAACCCTTCAAAGAGGAGCCAAAACTATGAGTTCTCTTCATTTGTAAGTTGATATATGGATTTTTTTTAACTAAGTGCTGATTGTCTTTCAATTTTAAGCTCTTGTGCTGTGTGTGGAATTTTCTAATCTTTGGGTTGTTTGGCACTACCTATTGGAGGTCCTCTAATTGTGTATTTTATATAGGTAAATCAAGCTAACAATTTAGATTGTTTTGATGTGATTAAAAAATAATCAAAGGTACACTTTGATTGCACACACTTGCCTATGCACAACTTTGCCCATCAGCATCTTTAATTGATATTGGTAAAAGCTATATGAAAAATTATTTGTTTTGAAAATATACTCCAATATTTTTGAAGTTCGGCTCATTTCTGATTGTTGTTTCTAAGAAATTTTGTATAAAGTGAGTGGGTGTAAGAAAATAGTGTATATAAATAAATGAGAGGGTTGAAAGGTGTAAATAGTGTAGGACTAAGAGCATAACAGGAGTAGGGTAGTAAACAAATTTGTTAAGTACACAAGTAAAAGTGGATCATTGAACTTTCTGAAACACCTTGAAACGGAAAGTGAGTCGAAGTTAATTACGATTAAGCTAACATCATCTTACATTCTAATTTACTTCCTCTGTTACCCTAATATTGCAACAATTACCATTTTAGGAAGTTTCACAAATACTGCAATATTACCATATATTCACATATTCTCTCTATCTCTCTCTACACCACATGGGTCCCTATATTATTTCTCTCTATCTCTTTCCTCATCTTAAATTCCGTGTCTTCCCTTATTGTTGCAATATTAGGGATACGGAGGAAGTAAATGTTAAAATATAGTCAAAGTGGGTTATATGAAAAGTATTATTTTGCTTAATCTTATAATAGGAAATACTTGGTTACTATTTTGGCCTTTTGACATTGTCATGTAAGTTTAGGGGATTTTCTTTTGCTGCTCATTGTAGTATGGTTTGTATTAATGATTGGATTTATATACTTTATTTCCCTTTTAATTATAGGTGGGGTATGTTATATCATTTACTCCATATTGCCTAGCTTCTAAAATATCCTTGAATATTGGAAAGTGATTTGATGTAATGGTTTGACAATAGGAATCTAATGTGATGAGGATGAGAACAAAGAAAATCCAAATGTTGTTTTTTATATTTATTTTCCTTTTCATTTTCAATAAGGCTGAGGATGAGAATGAAGTGAGGCAAATAAACTTGAAAGGTGATTAACTGGGTCATATATTGCATAATAGTAGTCTAGTTGCTTGTATGGGTTAACAACTAGATGGAGATATGTTTTTATGACATGACTTTCGAGCACTATATGTTGTCCTAGGTGAGAGTTTAACTAGAGGCTTTACTTGACAGTGATATAATTGTCATTACATATTAAGAGGTATTACCAAACAGCTATTATAAGCATCATAGCTTACAATTTTAGAAGGCTAGATAATGTACAAGTATATTGACAACCTAAATGTTAATGCAAGGGTAACCACCTTGAGATTTTTATTTGACAATTGAAGGACTGTAGATAATTCTTCTATAGGATTTTGCATGTATGATAGCATTTCCCTATAATCATGTTTGACAAAGGATTGAGGAGCCTTGGTTTTGATAGGAAGGTGAAAGTTGGTTTTGTTAGCAGCTTTATGTTGTCCTGGCATATGATGTTAGGTATTGAGATGCTCATGTGTGTATTAAAAATCATGTTTTAGTGAGACTAAAAAAACTTATTTGTGACATGATCTCTGGTCTTCGCTGGGAACAAGGAATTTGCCAATCGTTTTCTTGGAAAAAACTGCCCAAACTAGAAGATTTAGTCAGGGCTTCTGGGCCATGTAAACTTCGCAATTGCAAGCTTTTTCTTGTGTATTTGCTTGTGGATTAGTTTCTGACATATGTTTTGTTTACGGTACTGCAATTTATTAGTTTATCGTTTTGGGAATTAGGCTTTGGGGATCATTGATTCCTTGTGAAAGCTTGAGATTATTTATAAACTAAAGAGATTGGTTCCAGGTGCCCTTTAACAATAGGGAGCCCCGTACACCTAATTAGATTAAATACTCCCATGAAAACCTGTTTACTGTTTTGCAGTTGCATAGTCTAATGCTCTTGTATGGTTAAGGTCTTGTTTATATTTTGCCTTTTTCTGTGGGGGAGGGTTTTACGTGTGACATGAGAACACTGTCAAGCAAACATAATGTTCTCTCAGGTGGTTTAACTAGCCATCTGATGTAACCCTTTATTTTTCCCTGTCTTCAAGTTGTTCAGCTATTGATTTTTTTCTTAATGGGTGGTTGCAGAAAACATTGTATACATAGCTTCAGCATGTTTGATTTTCTGAAGGACGTGGTGAGCAAGGTTCCTGATTATGGTAATTCTGAGGCAAATGCAGATGACCGAACTGCTATGAAGAGAAGGTGAGTGCAGTTGCTGTCTGAACTCTGATGGGTTTTGTGCTCTCTTCTTTCCTGTGGATTTACTTCTAGAATACTCTATAAGAAATGACAGTTCAAACCTTTTTTGCCAGGAAATCTGCTGTTGAAGAGTATCATGACAGTGATGAAGAGTTGAAGAAAAGCAGGATGGTGAGATACTTGCATACTCTGGGTTTTCCTTATCCTTTTTTTTTATATACGTTGTATGTTCAGTTTTCTACATGCAATCATTCTGCTTCATTATTTGCAAATTGACATCGATAATATTTTTCTTTTCATTTTTTTTTAATGAATAAAATAATTTAGAATCAAGTACTTATATGGTTGAGGCAAAAATTGAAGATTTTCTTGAAGTTCTCAGTTGTATAAAAGTTATGCAGGCAAACTAACTGTTAACATGGTACTCTAGAACTTACTAATTTGGCAGATTAACATGCTTCATTTTGGTGATATACTCCCCAATTTTCCATGTTCTTGTTTGGCAGATTAACAGAATACTAGGAAAATAGTTAAGATCACATAAGTAAATACTTTGTATTAGTCTAGATAAGTTCAGATAACTTAATTTCAGATAATAACTTGAACCAAACAGTGCCTTAATCGGGTAATACACTTTCTAAGTTGGTAGCTGGAAGGTTTGTTTCTCTGTGTTCAGGTTGTGAGGGGGTGGTTTGAGCTTTAACCAGCAAATTATATTCATACAAACTCCTTAGAATATAGCATTACAGGCTTACAGCAATCAGTGCACAAATTAATGTGAATCTAAATTTTGTTTGTTTGTTTGTTTTCTTAGTCTTCTTTGATTTTGTAAAGAAGGCATTTTGCTTTTTTGACAACCCTATGGTAAAAATAAAATACGAAGTATATGTTTGTTGTTGCTGACTTGCTTCCATATGATTGTTTACTAGTAATAGTGTTTAATTATTTAGTAATCTATGATTTATAATAGCCTTTGTTGACTAAATGCAGCAAGAAATGAGCCATGCCAGCGGCAGTGGTAGAGGTAGAGGGCGAGGCCGAGGGAGAGGTCGTGGGCGGGGAAGGCCCCCATTAGAAAGAGAGGCACCCTCTCACCATGAGATGGAAGCCGAGCCATCGACAGTTTTTGAGCCCATCAACAAGCCCTGCCCTATCCAAGTACCCAACACAGACGATGATCCCAATAAACCAGATCCAATGAAGGAGAGTCCAGTTGTAGGTGATGCAGACACGGCAATCCGGAATTTCGATTTAAATGCTGATGTAGTAGCTGCTGAAAACCAGGAAGTAGGACCCACTGTAACAGCAGCAGAAAATGCTGCTGCATCAGTTGAACATCCTCCTGAAAGCAAGAATGAAGAGTTGCTCTCTGAGGTTGATGGGATGGCCATCGACCCACATCAGATTGCCCAATTTAACTCAAGAATAGACGAAGATGAGGACTATGATGAAGAGTAGCTGGCAAAAGTGTCAATGTAGGAGAAAATAGGAGAAAATGTAGATGAAAGTGGAGACCTATTCCTTGGGGGGGTTAAGGAAAGACACTAGAATTCTTTAATTATGGTCTCTGCTGGATCTCTGTATAATTGATGATTATTAGGTTTTCTAATTATTAGGTTGTAAGGCTTGCATTGTTATCATCTTTAGTTGCAGAAATTTTTAACGTAGTTGGATGTTACAGTGCTCAGTCTCATCATTTTCAGAGTACTCTGAATGTTTTTTCTTAATGTTCTTCTCGATTTTTTTTAGGATATTTGACATTTAACGAAGGAAAATGATACATGTAGCCTGCATATAAAAAGTTAAGTTGAAATATTAAGCATTAAATTGTGTTTTTGCTATAATCTCCAATAAATGCAACAAGGAACATAAAAGACTTTCTCAACGAACCAAAATTGCAAAAAATGGCAAAAGCAAGGAAATAAAGCAATTAAACCATCCCCTCGTGTTAGGGTTCATTATCCTTGTGCAAGTTGTGTAGGAAATCTATATCTATACGACTATACTTAGTATTTAAAAACACAAATCATAATTTTTCATATGACACATCTCATTACAAGTCACTCACTACCACATATGACACATGTCACCCATTTTGATCTTTTTGTTTAAGTCTTTATACATTCTATAACTTGCAAATTCAATTAAGAAAATGAAGTGTTTCATTTCTATCATAATAAAATAAAGTTGAACCAATTAATATACATCACATAAACATATGAATTGAATTATATAAAAATTGTCTTTTCAACTAATAGACTTAAAATATAACTTAAACCAATATGTCATTTCATATCATACAATCTTCATGTACATATACATATCTAAATTCCTTTGTCTTTTTCCACAGTTCTATCCTCATTCTTTTTTTCCTTTTAAGTTTTAGCAATGAAACAATTACTTCGTATTTCATATCAAAAGTTTCAACTATTGAAAAACATACCTACATATGAAATAACCTAGATAAGAAACCGTGCATCGAACGGGCCAAAAGGCTAGTTAATGTAAAACAAACACCCAGATTATGCAACTAATATCAAAGGCAAGAACTTGATACTTTGATAGCACAATAATAAATACGAAATAGAATGATTGTGTGTTATTCTAATAACGTAGTATATACTACCTCCGATTTTAATTATTTGCAACTCTGGAGTATTATTTGTAATATGAAATATTTCAAAGTTGCAAATAATAAAAATTGGAGGTAGTATCAGTTTTTTCTCTAAGCTTCTAATTACAGTATAATAACATCCAACTATCCAAGCCTCCAAGGATATGGTAAATTGGTAGATTGAGAAGGAACATTTCAATCCCATGCACACTCAAAACTTTGATTGTAAGATGGGAATCATAATGGCCGATTGGCGGTGTATTGTCTAAAGATTAACTTACTGGCTTTATAATCATTTGTTTGATTTCAATTTTCATTAATTCAGATTTAATTGGTTCTATTAAAATACATCATTAAGAATAAATTAAAATCAGCAATTGATTAATTCATGATTAGAAAGTAACACCCTACAAATTAGGGTTTAGATCAACGAGGGAATTATTAAAATACTAGTTGCACATAACCTGTAACGGAAATAGTAGATGAAAAGAAATAAAGTACGTCAATTGAAATAGAGGAGAGACCAGATTCTGGGTGAATGAATGAAAAAAATTGAAGGGTTAATTTTTTTTTTTTTTTTTTAATTCAATACATATTTACTTTAACAATACATAATTTTCACATTACAAACAATACACATCCATGTACTGAAGACTCATCGTTCAAAGAACCTTCCCAAAAAATGATTTTAAAGTTTAATTCCTATATCTTCTTTCGGTTCCTTTAAGATAATGATGAATGTGATGAAAGGAGAGATAGAGAAAAATTACAACTTACGTAAAAGAAAAGAAATTATTGTTGCACATAATGTATAGCAACTATTTTTTGTAAATATAGCACAATAATATATAACACAGAGGTAGTATGTATACCTAATGCTGTAATCTATAGATTTGTAAGTTGGAAGTGTAACCTCTTTTAAGATAAAAAGAACAGAGAATAAGAAAGCAATCTTCATTATACATAATTAAAGTCATCATACATTGAAATAAGACAGTGAGTACCACCACCACAAAAGTCGAGGTTATTACACTCAAACCAAGTCAGCTGTACTTGCTACTTACTACTCCGTACGTACTAGTTATTACGAGTATTACTTAACCATCAGAAGCCTTATAGACGAGGATCTCTGGATCTCCAACAATCAATCCTTCTTCTCGAACTCAGGCTCTATGTTGCCCATCTGATTAAGGTTATAGTTGCCTTCGCTGTTTTTGTGCACCTCCACATTGAAAGACTCCCGCTTCTCTCCTCTCTTCACTTTGAGGTGCAGGTTAAACTTAGCAGTGTCGTCCACAACCTGTCATTTAAAACAGTTTGCATCAGAGTTTAAGCATATATTGTCCGTATTATGCAGCTTGGACTACCTGAGAAACTACGAATATCACTGTACTCACACTCAGCAAATATACCTCAGCCCCAGATCAATAACAAGATGGGACGCTACTAATGACAATTGACCCCAAACCTCGGTTCTATTAGCCAAATCTTTTATTCACTCAGTTGTTTATAATTGTACTTCCAAAATTGCAAAGGTATGGGAAGAGAAGTTGGTATTTTTGCTTAATTTCTTTAAAATGATATCGAAGCAAATGCCCACATATACACCTTTTGGGAGTATAGTTTCGTCTACCCTTCTCAAGTTAGGAGGGGAAAAAAACGTGATTCTTATGATTCAAAGAGATACTTAAAGTGCCAATAACTAATCGGAGGACGCACCTCAGCCGTTGCATGAGAAACTTCTTGCAATTCGTATGGGAATAAAGAGTTGGATCTTTGCTGAATGGTCTTGAGAGCATGATTTGCAGCATTTTGCACTTCAGGGTCGTGGACAGGCACATCTTTCCATCCTGGGGCATGCCCTTCTGTACATACAAGCAAAAGTTAGTGCCAGCACAGTGAAGATCACATAGAAGCAAACCGATGGATGATGACAAGGTATAAATCACGCAAGAAAGGCGTTTATTGAAATTTTCCAAAATTATTCAGCTTAAATGCCTCAAGAAATCAAGCAAAATACAAAAATCATACGGCAGCACAAGAAGTAGTTGGTCTCCATTCATCATAGGTAGTAATTCAAAAATCATATAAGGGTTACCTAACAATCGAATATTAGATTTAGTCTGATACGCATTTCGCTACCTAACTATTTAAATTGGGCAAAAAATTACCCTATTGATGTTATAGACTGCCTTTGTAAATACACGGTACATGGATTAGAGTAAATACCACTGTTTGCATCTTTTTCATAGAGCCAAAAAAAAAAAAAAACACGTAATGAAAAAGCTGAGTAGTTGACTTAAGGATGTACAATCAACACCTAATAAAATGCCCAACTTAAAGACGATATTTGTTGGTGCTCCAGTGCAATCTTTAGTGTGTTACAGTTGACAGGTGATTCCCACTAAAAACAACATTAACAGAAAAAGGTGTGGAGCCATTAGGCAAAAGTTTTAAAACTTCCCTAAGGTACCCTAATCTTGATCAAAATTCTATCCAACCCACAACAGTTATCATGATTTAAACAATGATGTCAATTGCTCTTGAGCCACTTCAAGGAACTCTAGATAATGAAAGAAGTGAAAGTAAAAGACCATCATTTTAAAGCAGAAGTTGAAGCAACAACTCAACTACTCAAATTTTAAGTTTCTGGGAGAAAATAGTCAGATTAGCATAGCAAAACATAGAGAGTAATAGTCATTGTGGAATGGATTACGAACTTCCAGACAGCAACAAATTTTCAATACCCCGCAACTAAAGTAAGGCTCCGAGCCTATAAGTATGCTATAGTAAAGAAACATATCAATAAGGTTCATGCTTGATCGGTTGATCCCACGAAAAATTTCGTAACCTTTTCTTTCAATTCATTTCATTTGATTCTCATCTTGTTTAAACCTAAATGCAAAGCGTAGTTACAGCAACTAGTAATTCTCCAAACCCGGTTATAAATGAAACCAGTTCATGATCCAGTAGCAAGCTCATACAAATTATCAACACCACTAACCATTTTTGCAACGACAATTCTTAACATGAACCTTAATCATTACCTCGATTAGCACCAAGGTCCGAAGAACTGAATGCAGCAGGGGACTCCTCAGTATGCTTAAATTCCTGCAATTCCTTAAAGTTCAACCATGGCTTCACCCATACCTTAGCTTCATACAGTTTCTTTTTACCGGCATCAATGGCTTCGATGGTGAAGTGGTGCAACGTACCGGCAACCACCTGTTCCTTTGCCTTTATAACCCTTACGAACTCCAGCATACCATTCTTCATTCATATAAATTGAGAAAATATGAGAATAATGTTTTTATCACAATTCACAATACAAGTAATTTCTAAGCTTATTACTCCAAATGATACAATGCAAATCTATGAAACGGGCAACTTCAGAAATTCATGCAAAAATATGAAACGGTTATCAAAATATGGTACTCGAATTTGAGTAATTTCTAAGCTTATTACTCCCAATTATTCAATGAATGCCAATTATAAACAGGCAAACAGAAAACAAATTTACTTTAGTTTCTGATGGAATAATTTGGAAGAAGATAATAAAGTTAATAATATTCCTAAATTTCTCATACAAAACAAACATCAAACAAAAAATTCAACATCCCAGCAAAAATTATGATCAACACAGAAATCATGATCAAACCCCATCTTCCAAAACAAAGGAATCAGCAAAACCCCACAAAATCCCAGTAAAAATTATGCAAAACAATGAAATGGGTAAGTTCAATATTTGCAGAAACCTAAAAAAAACCAATAATAACAATTAAAACTCTGAATTGGGGTAACTACAAAAATTTGCAGAAATTTGAAAGAAAAGGAAAAACCCAGAAAAATTCATGCAAAACTATGAAACGGGCAGCTTCAAAAATTGCAAAATAATCAAGGAAAAAAAATTAACCTCTTTCTTGTTGTGTTCTTCAACGGCAAAACGAGCAAGGTTTTCAATCTCAGCATCATTAGAAACACCTTGGGATTCGCGCAAACCACCGAGAGTAGCCATTGAAGGTTGAGATTCAAAATCAGAGCAATACCCTTTTGATCGCTGGAATAGTAGGAGAGAGAAAAAGAGAAGAAAAACGAGAGATGAAGAAGAAGAAGAGTGGTGGAAGAAGAATGAGATGCTCAACATAGATTTATACCGTTTTTGGTTTTGCTTAATGAGTAAGTATTATTGAAGAGAAAATGGAAAGATGGATTTTTACGAGACGAAAGTTTCGGTTGTTTGTTTGATTTTGTTTGCGGTTTAGTGATGACACTGGTATTGTTTTGGGCTCTTCTTCTGCCAAGTTACGTTGCACGCTCACCGAGTTGCCGACTCTTTTCTTTTTTAAAGTTCGACACGTATTGGGGGGCTCGGTTGTCGGTTTTTCGGATCGAAATCGGATATTACTGTACCATTACCACCTCGGTTTCTTTTTAGTTGACACGCATTTCATTTTATAAATGGTTTTTTTAGTTGACATATTTCCTTTTGAGTAACTTTTTTTAGAACGATTTTCCATAATATTGTTGAAATAAAAATCAATTCCCATAATACATTGATTTAAAAATAAATTCCCTACATAATGTCCACGTAGGATCTTTTTTTGCTTTTGGTTCAACTTAAAACCGCTAATGGTAATAGCGGTTGTAGTTTATAATCATTAGAGGTTTTAAAAAAGAGACCGCCTCTAACAATAACAGGTCTCTTTGCATCCTTGGTTAATTCACAAGATTATTTCAAAGAGACCGCCTTTCAATAAGACAGGCTCTTTGCGTCCTTGGTTTTGCAGGAAGATTATTTAAAAGAGATCGTCTTTCAATAAGACAGGTCTCTTTGCGTCCTTTAGCCTACAACAACGTTCCAAGAGACCCCATTTCAATAAAAACAGGTCTCTTTGACTTTATTTTAATAAAATTGCAAAATCGCTAATACCGTTAGCGGTTTTAAGTTGAACCGAAAACCAATCCTACGTGGACACTACTTTGGGAATTTGTTTTTTAAAAGAAGCATAATGGGAATTTATTTCTATTTCAAAAATATTAAGGAAAATTGTTCACTTTTTTTACCTTGTATTTACAAGATACCCTACTTACTTTTTCATTTTCTCTCACACTTTCTCCTCTCCTTAATATATGTGCCTAAATCAAACGCGTCAATTAAACAGAAACGGAGGAAGTGTTAGATATTTCAAATTTGATAGAGTTGATACTTTTCGTTTTTAAAAGTTCAGCTCGTTTTTTTATTATTATTTTTTTTTATTTTTGTAAAGAAGTTCATTTCGTTTTTAGTTTCAAGTCATTTAATCATTTTTTAATATAGTAAATTATTTTGAAAAATTCATAGAGAAATAATATGCCTCTAATAGCTTAAGTCATTGATAATTCAGCCTTTGGTATAAAGTTGTATTTTAATGGTATGCTTAATACCAACAAAACATAAATTCTTATTTTGCATTTGGAATTAGGATGATACCATGATTACCATCTTGAATTCTTGATACCAATGGATTGAGACATCAATACTATCCCACAATATCCATCATTTTTCATCCACCTAATTTACCTCATCTCTTCTACTTAATCCTTTTTTTTTTCCATGTAATACTACCCACATTTTTAGTTCATTCCTAGAAAGAAGAGCATATAATAAATGAGTAGATGTTTGAACTTTTGAGGACGGAGATACTACTTCAAATAATCCAAAAGTAGAAAAATTAGGATCATAGTAAAATTTAGTTAAAATATCAATTGATGGTAATTATATGAGTTACGTTTAAATAAGATAAGGAATTTAAAAATTGTTAGATCAATTATCGGGCCTCTAAAAAAATAATTAACACGGACGTGTCAAATCTAGTATGAACAAGTTCTTCACAAAAACTTAATTGCGTCTGTGTTCTCGAATAACTAACATCAAACAGCATGAACCTTCAGGCATTTGCACAGACATGCCACATCCCGCATAGGCGTGTTGTTGCAATTCCAGCACTTTTGTCACTTCTTCGCCGCCCATTCCATATTTCGTTTTGTTGGTCATGCCCAATGGCGGACCTATTAAGCCCACATAGGAGCCCCAAGTTAGTTTTAAAAAATAAAAGCTCAAAAATTTGGACCCATTTCAAATATCTTTGTCTCATAAGCTGACAAACACACCTACTTTTTTACTTCCTATCTTTCTGCTTCTTCACGTGAAGATATGACAGCTATTTTAATTTTTTATTTCTTTTTTCAAATGTTGATCACTCACGTGAGGTGAGCAATTAGGGGAAAGAAATTAAATTCTTTTAATTTCACAAAACCTATTATACCACTTTATAATATTCACTCTAGCTCCAACTCAAAGTCTCAAACACTCATACAATTTTCTAATTTCTCTTTCCACCTCAAAGTCTGAAACAAAGAAGTATCAAATATTCAAGTGCACCAACAAGTTTATATGCTCATCAAGTTGGTGATAATTCTTCTTGTGGTAACCGCAAGTTTAGAAAGAGCATTTTCATAAGTTACGAAATAATATAGATGAACATTTTTAAACGATAGTTTGGTTTCTTTCATAGAGACAAATATCGCGCTTCCAAGAAATCAAAATCGACAAGAACAATTGTAATTTTTAATTTTTTTAAAATTATGTGTTGTTTTGTTTTCCCTTATAAACAGTCATGGATCTTTTTCATGAGTTCAAACCCTATTATTTGTTTTGTGTTATTAAAAACGATTTGTAATTTTTGGTGATGCGTCTTTGACAATGTATTACTTAGTACTCCGTAAGCTGAGATGATTAAGTTGAAAGTTTATTTGGACCCCCGTTTATAAATTTCTAGATTCGCCACTGGTCATGCCCAAGTCGTAACACTTCGAGACTACTTCTAACACTCCAAAACTTATCTACAAACTTGACATTATATTCATATCAACATATTTGTCAAAAAATAAAGGTCAACCATATATATTAAGTTCAACTATTTAGCTTGGTTAAAGTTTTGAGAGGTCGGTAGTTTGATATTCAAAATCTAGGATCAAATCTCATCTATATCATTTTGTTTTATAACTTTCTCTGCACAAAGAAGGTTAAAAAAAAAAAAAAAAAAAAAAAAAAAAAATCATTTGGTATGAACGGGGATAGAGTTGAAGGTAGGGATTCAAATGAAGAATTATTTGAGGAATCCAATATTTTACTTGTATTTGTATATCCTTGATTTGGTATGAATTAAGACAAAGACAGGGATATTTATCAAATTAATTAAATATCCTTACTCTCTTATTAAATTCTTTTATCCTTCCTTTTCATTAAAGGTTCAAATGTCTTTTCATCCTCAGTTTTTTTATTCCTCCCTTTAAATCACTTACATTACACCATCTCTTCCAAAAGATAAGGGTGAGTTTTATCTCCACCCTGATATCTTCTATATCGAACAACTCGTTAATTTTCTAAATTGAGATATTTTCACTTAATTTAGAATTACAATACCATAAAGCACCTTTTCTCTTCCATATTTCAAAAAATTATTAAACATGATACATTGATGATGATGAAATGTAACACAAAACTTTAAAATTGACAAGGAATATAAAATTAAATTATAATTTTATAAATAAGAAAAGAGTACAGTTGGTGCAGCTGTCTCCACTACCAAAAATTGAAAAAAATGAAGATAGTCGTGCTCACTCCTCCTCATCCTCAAAGTTTGACACATTCAGAAGTCAAACTCACCACCTTATCTCTATTCATCTTTTTTTTCAATCTTCATGTCTTTTCATCATGCATTCTTGACCCTCTTTTGCTCCTTTTTTTCTCCTTTCTTCTAATACATCATTTCATTTGTATTATTCATCATACTAGCTAGGTTTACGTACGTACGTAATCTTTTGTTTCGTTCATTATCTACTGTTTTTTGCTTTGTTGAATTAAATCGTCCGTTGTTGTTGTTGTTGTCGTTGTTGCTGTCTTCGTGGTTGTCGATCCATCATCATGTCAATATTCCGGCGATCATTCTCTAGGAGGCTTCCTGATCGTCTTCTTGAAATATCTGAACGTATATATGGTATATATTTCTTTACACTTGTATCATGATTATGCATATGCATGTCCTTTTAGCTTCTTATACATTTTTTTTCTTATATGATCATACATAACTCTTATTATGACAAATAAATATTTGTGAAAATAGGGAAATTCTTATTCTTTAGAAACAAATTAAGGGTTTTGTCGTTTCAAAAAAAATATATTAAGGGTTTCGTCATAATCTTATTGTTAGGGTAAAACAAAATGATATTTAACCTTTTATATATAACAAATAATTTTTCGTTGTAACTAGGGAATAGAGTCTAATTAGAATAATATTAATGTTTATGGTATATAGATGTTCCTAAATAAGTATTTTTCGAGCAAATAAGGGAATTCTAAATCAGGATGATTAATTGAATACTTCTTCAAAAGACGGGGAACTAGCTAAGAAGGATTCATGATTTCTCTTGTGCTACCAATCAATGGTTTTAGTATACCAATCAATGCACATTTCATCTCTCCAAAACTTTGAAACCTTTAATCTACAATAAACTCGGGTTATATAAAGATGTTCATGTCAACGGTTTTGGTCCTCACAACTTAAAGTCACAACATTCTAATGCACCCAAATACTAATATGCTATCATCCATAAACGCATACACTAGCCCTTTTCATGTGTGCGTCCGCTGCTCCTAGGCCATTGCATACAATAATTGGTGCAATTTATATCGTGAAAAAAATTGAGAAATGAATTGAAGTGCATACATGAAATTCATGTGATGCTAAAAAAACATTATATTTTAGCATAATATGCCTCTAACTTTAGATTAAGAGCAATGTATATACGCAGACAAGTAAGCGTGTTGTTAATTTCAGTAAAATAATGTTGATAAAACTGCCCTTTTTTTACCTCCATCATGTAGTGTTCGAAAGCTGCTTCTCAACTTCAGTTAAGAGTGAAAAAGAATGCAAGTCATACCTAGGTGGTATTGTGAAAAGTTTGCATAACTGCCATCCTGGTGCATCTGTCATGGTGTTTAACTTCCGCGAAGGAGAGCAAATGAGCTTACTGTCAGACATACTGATTGATTACGACATGACAGTGGTGGATTACCCTTGCCACTATGAGGGCTATCCTCTACTTCCGTTGGAGATGATTCACTACTTCTTACGATCTAGTGAGAGCTGGTTATCTTTAGAGGGTCAGAAGAACGTGATCCTGATGCACTGTGAGAGCGGTGGTTGGCCTGTGCTTGCGTTCATGCTAGCAGGTCTCTTGCTTTACAGGAAGCAATACAGTGGAGAGCAGAAGACTCTTGAAATGGTATATAAGCAAGCTCCTAAGGAACTCTCTTCTGTCATATCCCCAATAAATCCTCGAGCTTCTCAGTTAAGATACCTTCAGTACATTACAGGAAGAGATTCAGCTTCAGAATGGCCTCCGTCAGATGCACCAGTAATAATAGACTATCTCCTTCTGAGGAATCTTCCTTTATGTAATGGCGGGAAAGGTTGCAGGCCTGTGGTTCGAGTGTATGGCCAGGACCCTTTGGCAAAGACTAATAGTGCTCGGCTTGTATTTTCATCATTCATGGCAGATGAACCTGCTTTAAATTATTCAAAGGTAAAAATTCAGTCATACTAGGATTTTATGTACTCTATCAATGTTCATTAAGAAAAGGAGGAAAAGCTATTCTTAAACCAGGTCTCCATGCTATTTTCAGGCATGAAAAAACCGTTCACTTTCTTTGCTTTCTTTGTCATAATAAGATCAAAAGTAAGGCTCTTTCATTTTCAGAGGTTGTTTGATGCTTAACTGCAGGAAGAATGTGAGTTCGTGAAATTAGAACTTCGTTGTCAGATCCAGGGTGATGTTTTCCTCGAGTGTATCCATTTGCATGATGATCAAGTTTCAGAAGAAATGATATTCAAAATCATGCTCCACACAGGATTTGTCCGATCAAACATATTGGAACTCAACTGTGATGATATGGATGTTCCCTGGAACACAAAGGTCGCTAGGAATTTCAAAGCAGAGGTAATGATATGCTCCATTTAAATTTGAAAAAGAACTTCTTAGAAAAGTAAGTTCTGAATAAAGGCTATTTAAGTTCAATTCAGAAGCTTCAATGAGTCCAAAGAAAGTTCAAATATAGAACAAAGGCTATAATTGATTAGCTTGTATCTGTACTGCTGTACATGACTTTTTTTTTTTAATTTCACTTCATGTTAGGTTCTCTTTCGAAACATGAATGAAGTACCAGTAAATATTACCTTGGAATTAGGAGCTGGCGAAGAATACAATGATTCTGACAATGAATTTTTTGAGGTTGAAGAGATTTTTACACCTATGCCAGAGAGCGAAGACAGGAAGGTTATTGACAGTGCAATAGTTCCAGAGACAAATTTGGTGGATAATATTCACAGAGACTGCACATTGCACAATGGCACTCCTAGATGGGATTTGGATGCTGAAGAAATAGATATTATTTCTTCAGAACAGAAAGTCCTCAATGATGTTTCTTTAGAACAGAAAGTCCTCGATATTGTTTCTTCAGAACAGAAAGTTCTCGATGATGTTTCTTCAGAACAGAAAGTTCTCCATGATATTCCTTCAGAACAGAAAGCTCTTGATGATATTTCTTCAGAACAGAAAGCTCTCGATGATATTTCTTCTTCTTCAGAACAGAAAACACTCGATGATATTTCTTCAGAACAGAAAACACTCGATGATTTTTCTTCAGAAAAGAAAACACTCGATGATATTCCTTCAGAACACAGAGCTCTTGCTGATATTTCTTCAGAACAGAAAGCTCTCAATATTTCTTCAGAACAGAAAACACTTGATGATATTCCCTCGGAACACAAAGCTCTCGGTGATATTTCTTCAGCACAGAAAACACTTTATGATATTCCCTCGGAACAGAAAGCTCTCTGTGATATTTCTTCAGAACAGAAAACACTCGATGATATTCCCTCGGAACAGAAAGATCTTGATGATATTTCTTCAGAACAGAAAGCTCTCGATGCAGGGAATCACAAACAAGCTTCAGAAGCAGAATCTGATATAACGAGTACTTCATCAAAAAATATTGTAGTGGTTGATTTATGTGGAAGCAAAATACAAGATGTGAAAGTGGAGATTGAACCAAAACCTGTCATTACAAGTCCTGGTAGACCAAAACAGAACAAGAAAAACAAATGGCAAGAAATCACAGCAAAGACAATCAAGCAACATAGGGTAATTTCACAGTGGGTGCCACGTGCAAAAACACCACAAGCGCCTGAGGTAAACAAATCGAAAGCACCAGTATATAAGTGGATTCCCAAAGGACCAGCTACGCCTACAGAGGCTGCAGGTGGTGAATAAAGCAATAGGTTTTGCTGTTGCTGGTCATTTCTGAGAATTTTATTGTCCATTCCAGCTAAGCTGATGGAAGCAAGTTCACAATTACAGTGAGCTAAAAGCCTAAAATGAGATAATGTATGAATTATGGGTACTTTGAATGGTACCTAATACTGTATGCATATTATAAGGTTGTATTGTTATTACTGTAGATATAATAACAGGTATTTCTGGGTCTTTTCAGATTTTTATGGCAACCAATCGTGTTTTTTTTTTTTTTTTTTTTTTTTTTTTTTGGGGGGGGGGGGGGTGTTACTCTTCTCCGGAATTTTCTTGCTACTAATATGATATATCTGTGGCCAAGCTTTAAAGGGCCTAAAAGCACAAATGTTAAGTTTTCGTAATCTTCTCAAGTAATTACGCTACTTTAAGTCAAATCAGGTTCATCAGGATTCTCTACAAGAAATAGACGGTTTACTAATTTGATACCATTTCACTTTCTACCTCTATTCATGTAGAGGAGAAGATACATGACACCTTTATTTTCAGTGTATGGACTATGGAGACAGGTATTCCATAGATAAGCTAATCAGAAGACATGAATAGGACAGCGTGGTCTAATATGATGAGTTAAATAAACTTTTATCAAGAAGCTCTGTGTTCAGTAGGTCAGGTTCGAAAACAAGACAACCAAGATTATGCTGTGAAGTTTGATCACAAAAGAACGAAAACCTCTCCAATACGAGTGAAGTTTGATCCAAGGAAACAAAATTGGTGGATGTTTATATAAGGAGGCCATAACTGGCTATTAATGTTAACTACTACATTGAAAATAAAAGGGAAAATAAGACCACTATCAATCAACTGATACAATGATAACAGAACAACAAAGATATAAGGCTCTAAGAGAGGTTAAAAATCTGTACAGGCCAAGCTTGTCTTCGGCAATCATGGCTGACTGCTGAAGTCTCCAGTGATATATCAATGGCTCGGTGCTGTTGTGCACGAACAATACTAATGCGTACCTCAATCTTCGAGGCTGGGCAGGAGTCAGTTCCAACAACAGCTGAACTCTTAGCATCAAGTCTTCCTGATGAGAGTGCTATGGGTTCCCTAAAGGTGAAAATTGACTGGGACCAATGAGTCTTCAGTGTGTATGGGGAAGTGGATAAGTTAGCAGGCATCTCTTTGCAAAATCTGCTTGTAAAACCAGTATCAAACCACAAAACAACTCCGTGACACCATGTAACTCCATTTTTCACCTCACTTAATTCGGTGACACTGGCCAACTTAGGTTGTAACTCGATGCTAGAAGTAAAATCCATGTCTTCAATTTTCATGGTTGCTAAATCAAAGTTCTGAAATGAAGAAATTGAGCATATCAGGATATAAATCTTCAGAGTCCACTATTCTAGCAATAGGCTGAAGTTAACAAAGAAACGAATCAAAATATGCATAAAATTGAGCTCATAGCAGGAAATCCAGCCCAAGATATTGCCCATTTTAAGCATCAACAACTCTCTATAATAATTTTTGGGTACATGACTCGGTAATATATTGCAACTTTGCTCTTCAGAGGATGATTTAATTACTGTAATAATAGAGAACCCTTCCTCTAATCCTCCATGTTCCACCCACCCCGCATACCCTACCTTGGTGCAAGATCAGCCATCTTTCATCCAGGACTTATTCATTACAGTTAACAGAAGCTCCCACTCTAACTCAACACTTGAAATGTAAATTACCCCCTACACCAAGTGTCAGGAAACAGGACAAATAAAATCTGCAGTACAAAAGATAAGGAGAACAAACCTTCAAAGTTGCAGTCTCAGTCACAATATCATGGCTATTGACAACATCAACAATGGGAAACTCAGCAGCATCTTTAACAAGTTCCTTCCCAACAGAAGACATGTCAATGCCATACACATTTTCCCAAAAGGGAAGACTGGTACAACCCTTTCCAAAGCCTGCAGCAAACTGAAGAAAATTGACAAAAGATATAAGTTCCTTGCAGCATTAATAAATTCAAGAGGCAAACAAAATGAATTTCAATAAAGTTACAGCAAAGAGGTGCGTTGATATTTGAGTAAATATCATGTGCCTGGTCATTCGAAGGCAAAAAGAAATTACAGCAAAGCGGTGCCATAATATTTCAATAAATATATATCAAGTGTCTAGTCATTTTGAACATGTAACAAGTTACTCCTAAATGAAATGACAGTACGTGATACAAAATTACTTTGCCTCGACTCCTGAGAGCAGAAGTGACAAAAGAGAAAGAATGGGGTGACCATGTATTATACATGGAATAAAGATGTTTTTAAGCATTCAGTTAGTTATAGGAAACTTATACATTTAATATTTCTGATGACTGTAAACATATATTCATGTTTATTTCAATTATCGGAAGCATTGGCTATAGAGGCGTCTCACAGTGATTGTAAAGGTGTACTAAACCTCAATAAATGACCATAAAAAGAAAAATATACAGTGATTGTACAGCTCACCATTGTTGCTGTATCAGGCAGAATAGCACCTCCAGGCTTCAGCCATCGATCCCGTGCAAAGAGGACAGAGCTGAGCATTGATTCATAGAGCAAACAGTACCCCATCCATTCACTCAATAAGACATCTATAGTGTGGGGTTCAATTGATACCGACTTTTCAATGTCCTCAATCATACCATGGACAACTTCAACTACACCAGAACTCTGGTTATTACCTTTGCAAATACTTTCATTCCTTAAAAAGCCGTTGTCTTTTGCAATCTACAAACAGTACAATACCCTTCATTTATTACAAAGGTTTATTTGATGAAGTTGATACTGATGTTGGTATTGTTAGATCAAGAAGTTAAGCTGAAAAGCTAGAAAGCCTAGGATACCTGAGTGGCCACAGCAGCCATCTTCTCACTTGCATCCACTGCAATAACTCTTGAAGCCCCTGCCTGGGCTGCAAAAAGACTGAGAAATAGTAACTAAGAGTAAGCTGAAAGAATAGCAGGAAATACAGTATGATAAATGGTCCACCTGAGCTATTAGACCTTATACCACCACATTAGAGTCCATAATTTTCACCTGAAGACCCTGAATTGTTTTCTAGTATTTCCCTTACCTAAGCATATATTTAGTGGTAAAATGAACTAACTTGCCCTAATTTGAACTCATTAGCCCTAAACTGAAGTAAATAGCTCTTAACTGAATTTCTTTGAACCTATTAGACCTGGCACTAATATAGTCATATTTCAATGAGAGAAAAAACATTCTACTATAACACAATCTGGAGGTCATATACATACGAAGTGTGATTCAAAGTATTATTCCCTCTAGATTACATAAAATTATACAGAAAATAATCATGCCCTAGATCTGTACTCTATATTTTACCTCTTGTGCCTTTGATTCCTTCATTATGGTAAGGATAAAAGAAGACAGGGATAAAATTTTTGTTTCTCAAAAAGGGTCAAATGTATTCATTCAAAGTTCAAATAACAGAAAGAAGAAGGTATAATAGAATATCATCAATCAAAGTAGTCCTTCCTTTCAGCAATAAGCAATTAAGCACTTGTTAGCAATTTCTAGCAGTAAAATCTATAGTATCTTTAAAAAGGTGTTGCCCTTTCATGAAACATCGTCACTTGGAAGTTGGACCCTCCACCTTGGCAATGATAAGTCACTTGCATGGTCCCACATAATGCAAGTTCTTTGACATGTTTACTTAACCTTTACAAAATAATATACATCAGTCTATCCTCATACCCATAACCTATCCACTCCACTTTCAAACTCCTGACCTCTAATTAATTGGTTTAACCATTATTGACAGGGTGATAGTGTTAAATGCAATCACTTTTGAACAATTTATGAGATAAGCACGCTACGTTCAACAATGGAACAAGAAGAGTTTTGCAACAGTCCTGACTTAGTTGCCTCCAGAGCTAATTTGACCCTCCAACCTGTCTTTTTAACCTCTTCACTTTCCACCACTACTACCGCCTTTGTAATATTGCCAACTTCCAGTATTTCATTTCCTAGTAAATTTCATTCTGAAATCAAAGTCCCAGCTTTTCATCTCCTATTATTTCTCTCTTGATATGACTATCCACCTTGTGCAGGTGGTGCATCACACAAGATCAAAAGCTAGATACCATCGGGCACAGTGTCAAAGCAAAAGAGTATATTAGTAATAGTCGCCAAAATTGAACAAATTCATTATATTGAATGGCATCCAACAGACTCTGCAACAAAAATTACAATCAAGAACTTTGGAGTAAGATCCATGTCTACAAGTAGGTTTTCAAAAAGCTTCGAACATGATACCATCCATTAGCAAACCACTAAAATCATGCATCCGAACTTGCAACAGTGCACAATGTAAAAAAGTGACATAAGAAGCACATATTTTCGTTACAATCACCTAAAATCCATAATGTGCAGACAACAGCAAATACAGACATGATTGTATAATTCACTATACATCTATAAAGAGGTCTCACCTAAGTATACCGGTCCCACAACCAACGTCCATCACGGCAGCACCACCAAAAAGAGATGGATTTTTCAAAATAGCTTGACTATATGAATCCATTCTAGCCTGCGACACCATAAGGAGGTTGTCAGTCACAGTAAAGAGGCCAACCGCCAACATAACAAACAGTTAAAATGTTGCCATGTCATAGGATCCAAGAAATCTAAGAAATGGGAATTGAGTTGTTATGCAGAGTATAATTATTTGTATAAGTTCAGGACCTTGTCACTTAACATCTCCCGATGGATGCCAAATGAGCTATAGGATCCAAAATAACTCTCATTTACTTTCTTAATCTCTGATGCTGCAACTCTTCCAAAAGAAGCCCTAAGGGACAGATTCTTTTGCATTTTATCAGATAAATCACGCTCAACACCATTCACCATTGCTTCCCTGGAAGAGCTAGCAATAGAAATAGAAGGCATCACTTTCGTTACTTTCTTATTCAAATCAATTGGGCTAGAGGAATCAGCATCTAACATCATTTCATCATCAGAACATACTTTTTGCACGTCCCCCAATAAACGTGATAATTCCTTTGCTTCTCCCACTATTCGTGATAGTTCCTCCTCATCAACGGGTGGCATGCACTCATCTTCAAAATCTTCATCTTGATCAAAGCTATAGAGTAAAGAATCCCCTTCCATAAAGGGTTGCAAGTACTTATCATCATCCCACAAAAGCTTCAACTCCGAAAATTTTGTCCCG